GAGAGAGGAAAAAAATAAAAAAAAAAAAAAAAAAAAAAAAAAAAAAAGGTACCAGGTACTCCTCAGATAGAAGACTAATATCCAAAGTTCAAAAAAATTAGGCCCCTTCAAAATAAAAGACCCAGTCAAAAACTGAGCAAATGAAATGTATAGACAATTCTCATAAGTAGAAATAGAAATGACCGATAAATACATGAAAACATGTTCAACATCTGTGCCCATTAGATTCCATCTTACTTCAGAAAAAAATGGCTATCACCAAGAAATCAAATAATAACAAATGCTGGGGAGGCTGTGGAGGAAAAGGAACGCTTTTATATTGATGGTGGGTGTGTAAACTAGTACAAGCACTATGAAAATCAACATAGAAATTCCTCAAATATCTAAAACTAGAAATTCCATTCGACCCAGCTATTCCCCTTTTAGCTATATTTTCAAAATAGTTAAAGATATCATACTCTAGTGATACATGTGTGTGTGTGTGTATATATATATATGTACACATATGTGTATATGTATATATATATATGTATATCAACAGATGAGTGAACAAAGAAAGTGTGGTATTTACACACAATGGAGTACTATAAACATAGATAAATTTGAGTCATTAGTAGGAAAATGGATGCACCTTGAGACCATAATTTTAAGTGAAATAAATCAAACACACAAGCTTAAATATTTCATGGTTTCTTTGATGTAAGAAATCCAAAGTACAAATAGTGACATAAAAGATAGATAAGAGACAGGGAGATTGAGTTTTTGCAAATGAGAAGAAAACCAAGAGGTAGAGGAGATGGAGAAGAGGGATGGGACAGAAAAGTAAACAGAATTAAGATGTGTTGTGTACATGTGCCAACTCCCAATGATAGAATCATTATGTCCTGAAAACATGTACTAATAAAAACAAAAAAAGGGGAAATACACGAAGTTCATACAGTCTGCTCCTGCCATTGGTTATGAAGCCACAGTTGATATCTACGGCTGCTTCTTTCCCTACCCCTTCCGTGTTTCCCTTGCCTTTAGCCAGAAACTCAGGTGACTGGTTTTCTTTACCTGGCAAAGTGACAAAGTGGCAGATCCTCATTCCTGAAGGATCGAAGTTACTGATCATTACGTTACTGCTGCCGCTGTTGCTGTCACATTCTGTCGGTGTTTATTTTGGGTGTGAAGTACTACGAGGCACCCCAGAAAATCCATCGATTCCAGACATAAGGTAGCATAAGGTGCTTGAGATCAATCATTTTAGCCCAGAGAGCAATGCTTTATTCTGCCTTTGGTTCAATGGCACATCCCAAACGGCCAGGTGATAGACTGATATCCCACCGTTGTTTTACCCCTCATAGAAGCAATCTCATCTTGAGAATCAGCGGTGCTCAAAGGTGCTGGGAGAAGGAGCAGGTGGGCTGCTAAATATGTCAGTGGGAGCAGGCACTCTCAGTTCCACCCATGGATTCTCAGACTCACATGTTCTGGTTAAGGAGCGGGGATCATCACATCATGGTCTTTCATTCAAAGAATGTAGTGCATCCAATAATACAGCACTTCACGCTTTCAGGGCTTGTCTCCCGGTTGGGGCCATAACAGACTCTTCCGTTCCGTCTTTTAAGTGTCCCTTTCAAGTTTCCCAACGGCAGGGAGGCGATTCCATGCCATCGGCCCACTGTTAAATGAGTTTCTTGATCAGGAGCAATGCTAGCTATAACACCTGGTGGTGAATAGACCTTTGGTGAGTCCACAGACGGTAGTGTAGGCCAGAGCAGCACAGGCAGGAACTGTGAATAAACATATGCGTGTTCCAGAGAGAAAGAAGCTCCATCCTCTTCATGATGGAAAAGATCCCAAGTAATCAATCTGCCACCAAGTGGCTGGGCAGTTGCCTGGGGGAATGTTGACATATGGAGGGCTCAGTATTGGTCTTGGCATTTGCTGGTTAGATTTGGAGGAGGAATAGCCAGGTCAGCTTCAAAAAAGAAAGAAATTTATGGTGTTCAGTCTGTGTATATTCTCCATCTGTGCCACTATGTCTACTTTTTCTGAAACCTGCTCAGCAATCCCTGAAAAGATTGCCATTAACAGAACGAATAATTTTGTCCTGATTATTAAAACACTTGTCTGCCTGGGATGCTTTGGTGAGGATTCACGTGGGACACAAATGTCTTCACAACACTGTATCCACCCTCCTTGTGTTTTCCCAGACTTCCTGTCACGAGTCTTCCAACTCCTGTTCCTTTTCAGTGACTGCCCAGCCAACCTCGGTCTTAATAATCCAACCCATGGGCCATTGACTAGATATGGCCGTGTTGTCATAAGAAATATAAAAAATAAAGGAAGTTCGTCACTTCTGTGAACTATGTCATTATTCTACAGATGGCCTGAGACAATTCCTCTCCACTCAGTGCAGCCCAGGCAAGCCAGGGGTGCCCAGCCCACAGGGTATAGGGGGGACACTTCTAGGCTTATTTCTCGCCCTCTCTCACTACAAAGTGGAAAACCAACTGTACTTCTTGAGGTTTTACCCACCAGGAAGATCTTCCTTAATCCCCGTCTTTCAAGGCCCCACCTGAGTGGTGGTGTGTCAGCTGCCCACTTTGGGGTAACAAGCAAATAGGGCCTCCTCTTTCATGAAGAGATCAGAGTCTTCCAACATCACTATTGCCTTGGGCCCTGCTAAAAAAGGCAAGGGATTCTGCTTTATTTTTTTAATGCAGCGATTCAGTTTCAAACAGGTTATGGTTTGATTTTTTTTTTTGAGAAATGTACTTGGTGGTTTAAACAGGTGTTAATCACTGCTTTCAGGGATTTCTCAATCCAGACTTGTTTGTTCTTGTTCCAAAACTATAATCATTGACAGGCAAGAAATCACACCCTTTGGGAGATATAGCCAAGGTTCCTGAACCAGAAGGAGATACTGACAAATTGCTAGTTGTTGGAAAAAGTGAAAATTATAGTCACAGCTTCCTCTCCTCTCAGTTCTAGGATAAATCTTTTTTTTTTCTTTCAGTGTCACAAAGTGTAACAAAGAATAACAGATGCTGTGAAAATTACAACTGACAGTAGCAACAATATAGGTATATTGATGAGGTACACTGAGCTTCCTGGAGGCAAATGCCATCTAGTATTAGGCGTATTTTAAAGGTTTCCACAGCTACCACATTTTTGTACATCTAAGAAGGCAACTTGAACAAAGTAGTAATTCAGTGGTATAGTTACTATTTTTACATGATAATGTCCAAGGTTTAACAAGAACACTTTCATGACATTTCTCAAGAGCTGATGGGGGTCAGGAGACTGCTCATGTTTACTGAATTTTTTGTAGTGAATTTGTGATTTTTTTAAATGGTACTGAGAAATGGGAATTAACTCAGTGCCTTAGATACATCCCAAGCCTTTTTTCTTTCCTTCTTTCTTTCTTCTCCCTCCCGACACCCACCCCTCTTCCTTTTTTGTACAGGGTCTGTCAGGGATCTATTTATTATAGGCCACATCTAGCGAAATTTTAAAAATACAGCTCTTTTGATTCTACCCAAAGGACCTAGATCCTACTTTTTCAAAAGAAGTGGAGTACTTGCCCTAGATTATACACTTAGAAAACAGTAGCATGTGAACTTTGGGTCTATTTATTCAAGCAAAATTGGACAGGAGAGCACAGATGAGTAAGGCGTGGTCCGTGGTCTGTGGTGAATGCTATGAACGAGGTATTGCCCAGGCTGTCATGGGAACCCGAAGCAGGAGCATCCTGGGCTTTCCTTGGCTTTCAGGAGTAAATGCAAATCCTTTTGCTTAGCTAAACTCCATGATCTGGACCTCCAACTCCCTAACCCTTCCATCAGCTTTGCTGGGAAGAGGTCGTTCTTGCCGCAGCGGACCCCAAGTCCTGGCGCCTGGCCGTCTCCGGTTTACGGGAACTCAGGTTCTGAGGCTCTCGGCCTAGCAGACGCGGCTGTCTCTCCAACCGCCCCACGTAGTACTCGAATCCTGCCCTCAGGTCTAACTCTCCCAGTGCATGGGCCCCCGAGACGCCAGAACCGTGAAGCTACTCGGACTCCAGGCAGCGCACCGGAAGTGGAGGCGGTGGCGCGTGACGTTGGGAGGAAATGCGTATCACCGCGGCCTGTGGTTGGCTGTTGCTGGAGTTCGTGCCTCACTCTTAAGGTTCCCCCAGCCAGAGGCGATGGAAGAGGGTCTGGAGCCGGGGAGCTGCTCTAAGGACGATTGAGTTCGAACCTACCGCTCAACTCGTTCAGCGGGTGTGCACCCTCCTGATTTACCGCTGGGCACCTGGGGCTGGGGGTGTGAGGACTGCTCTGAGGTCAGTTCCTGAGCGACCCGTGGGGCCTCATCCAAGAGGAAAAGGGTCTAAAAGAGAAAGGAGCCAACCCTGGTTACCAAGGACCAGTTTCTTTAACCTGCGAGGCTCGCTTACGCTGCGCCTCCTCTATGAGGGAAGTAATGATATCTCTGTTTATTGAGGAAGAGACTGGGACTCACAAAGGTGGAGTCATCTGCCACAGGTTATGACGCTGAGAAGTGATGGATCTGGAGTCCCCGTTCTTTGCGCTGCGTTAGGGTCCTCAGGCGCTCTCTGCATGAAGAATCCCGCGGCGGAGGGTGCGGTTGGTTAAGAGAGTCTGAGATTCCACAGTTGATCATGTCTGGGACTTCACAGATTGACTGAGTCTGGGATCAGGCCCTGGCATCTGTATTTCCAGCACTGCCTCCTGACAAATAACGTGTTGCTCCCGTCTGGGGGACGGGACCAATAGCAAGTTGTCAGGTCCGTAGAAGACGTCAAATAGAGGCTTCCTTCACACATCTGGTGGGACTGGAGAGTTGGTTTTGATTGTGCCATTAACTCATTTGGGCAGATGGCAGCCTCGGTCATCTCCTTACCTATGATACGCATGCGATTTTTACAGATTCCTGGGCCCAGCTTAGTTCTCTTAAATCAGAATGGGGATCTGGGAATCTGCAGGCTAAATAAGCCATCACGTGTGTGTATTATCTTTAAGAACTTGAGATGTGAAGCTTTCCTAGACCCATGAAGAAGTAGATCATAGATTCAGAACGGGGGGCCTGACCTGACTTCTTGTTTTTGTTTTGTAGCTGTGCAGGCTTCTGTATTTGCTATGGTCTTTTTTTTTTTTTTTTTTTTTTTTTTT